GCATTGCTTTCCGTTTCACTTAATTAAAACTGTTCTGCATGTGTGTGTGTGTGTGTGTGTGTGTGTGTGCATAACTGTTCTCCCTTTGAAGCTCTCTCATCTACGTCTAATCTATTTTAATAAACTTGGAGCCTTACCGTACCAAGACTCCTTTGGGTCCACCAATCCAGAGGAACGATACGTAACTATGAGCTCCCTTAGCTACAGCCATAAATCTAATGAAATTCAGTAATTTAGTGGACAAGACTTATGATGTTGCATTAGTGTTTCAGTGACTCACACAGCAAATATTTGACCAGTGGTTCAGTGAACACATAGGGTGATATTCATAACTATATAAACATAACTGTGACATATAAGTATGTAAACTTATGTGTGCTATAAAATAAAACCATTCTTAAGTGCATAAAATAAAAATCAGCCTAACACTATACCTGATCCTACTATGCATTACAGGTGACTGCTATCACCCTTGTCTGTTTTCATTGTGTAACCAAGCAGAGGGGGTTATAGCTTAAAGTACAGTGCACAGTTAGCAATGATTAGTACAGCAGTTTTAGCTAATATCTTGTTTATCTTACAGAACTTTAGTCCCCGCTCTGCAGGTGGTCTGATTTTAGTCAGCCCATCTCTCCTCATAGTAGTTATAGCAGTAGTAGTAGCAGTATCTACAGCAGGAGTAGCAAGTAGTTTTAGATACAACCGGTTCTTTTATCTGAAGGCCCCAAGAAGTAACACTCAGGAGACAGGAATCAGCTTTACGTAGATTAATTTTCTTCTGGTTAAATGCAGAGTTATTACAGCGCTGGGCTCTGTGAGATGAACAAGTCCCAAGAGCCTTGATAATCGGAAATAATTCACATTTATCTTCTCAGGCTGGGACTGCCCTGTACATGGGTAGAACTCATACGTGCACAACAAACATCCACTACACTCACAACATGAACTGGACACGAGGTTCATGCAAATATTCTAGAATGTTCGCCTAAGCAATGTGTGTGTGTTTTGTTATTTTCAGGTGTTTCTCTCTAACTGAAAGTAGACATGCAGTTAGCTGTTTCACTTACTTCTCTAATTCTGTTGTAAAAACCCCTTACTCATGCTTCAGACCTGAGTGAACAGTTCAAGCCTGTCAGACTTCACACCTTTTTAAAGTAACATAAATTAACAGCATCTTATCTATAGTTTCCAGAATGACACTTATTTATGCAATTGATTCATGCACATTTTACCAAGAAGATGAGAAATACTACAGGCTGACTTAAAGCTGAATATTATGACTATGACGCATGCATAAGAGCCAGGTTAATACTGATACATGGTGCTGCTAATGGAACACAGACAAATAGTCATACTGAACTCTTTTATTATAAAAGCAAAATAATACTGATAATAAATAGAAAAATAACTGTAACTCCTGAAATCCAATCCTAACAGTAGTACTATCAGTAATAACAGCATAAGTGGTGGCAGTAGCACTGGTGCATCTACCAATAGTTGGAGTACTTGTGGCAGTTGTACTAGCAACCTTAGTAGTGGTGGCATTTACAGTACTATTAGCAGAAGTAATGGCAGCAGCAGTATTACTAGTAGCACATAGTTGCAGCAGTACTTGTAGCGGTTGAGCTGTCTGCAGCTACTATTGTAAATGTTTCCTCTTGCAGGTGTGTGTCTACAGAGACTTCAGTGCAGTTCGAGATCAGGCAATGAAAATGGTCCAGACAGCCTTCACTCTGCTGGACCACGAGTTCCAGAAACTGGATCGGTATGTTTGTTTTGCTTTATTTAGAAATATACTCAACCACATGAATGTTTCACCCTGGTTCACTGGTTAACTCTCTGAATAGCCATCACTACCAAATGTATGGATGGATTTTATTTCTTCATTTATTTATTTTTTTAGAGAGAAGTCTGAGTTGGCTAAAGCTGCTGCTGCTTTGCAAAGAGAGAAGGAAACTCATGAGGCCCACAGACAACAGCAGCAACAGGTCTCTCACTGTGGTCATGCAGTCTAATTTAAACTAATTCGCTCTTTCCATTCTTTATCTACTGTATAACTCATAATCCTGTGGTGGGTCACTGGGGCCTGGACCCAGCTGACATTAGGCAAGAGACAGTGCACACCCTGACAGGCCACCAGTCCTGACACACAGAGACAGATGGCCATTCACACTGACACCTACGGGCAATTTAGAGTCACCAGTTTACTTGGAGAGAACCCACACAGGCATAGGAAAGAACATCCTAACAGTAGTACTATCAGTAATAACAGCATAAGTGGTGGCAGTAGCACTGCCACCACACAGAAAGGCCCTGCTCGGCCAACAGGTTTGAAGCCAGAGCCTTCTTGCTGTGGGGTGACAGTGCCAACCACTGCACCACTGCACCACTCTAATTCAATCTAATCCAATTGATTTATTAAGTCCATTGTAATCAAATCCAATTCATTACGTCTTTCTACACTATTCTAATTTAGTATGCTCTAACACAGTCTAACATTATGAAAAACCATCAAATCTAGCCCAGTCTAATCAATTCTGTCAAAATTAATTTAATTGACTCTATTCTCTGTAATCTATGCTAATCTAATCTTTCCATTTAAGATTTATTTTGAGTTTAATGCTGACATCAGCAAATATAGATAAGTAAATTTTAAAAAATCAACAATTAAGCATGATAAAATATTAACTTGCAAGGTAAAACTAGGAGAACAAAGCATTAAGTGATAATTTTTGAGAGATAAATTTTGTGTTTCTGTGTCAGGAGCTGCAGGAGATGCTGGACAGGCATCGCTCTCAGAATGAGGCATGGCTCCGAGCCAGAGCTGAAGAGAACGACCGAGAGAGGAGGGAGCTATGCAGACTCAGAGTCAGTAAACACACACACACCTTTCCTACTTGGTACATCCTTAAAAAGAGATACTGCTGCCTTCAAATACTGAATACTTTGAGGAAAGCCTTACAAGGAAAAACATCATCAGTTTTGTCTGTGAGTTAACTGTAACTAAATTTCACCAAAATGGTCGAGACATGAGGTGAGTCTTAAGTTTTGCTTCCAAGTGGCGCCTTTTATATGAACCGCACAGTGAAATTGTCAGAACCTGGTCAAGTCATGAATAACTCACTGTACTGTATGTGATATATCTGTCTCAGGAGGAGGTGTTACAGGAGCAGGAGAGGCTGAAGGAGGAGCAGATCAGCATCCAGAAACGCAGTGAACATCTTCTGTCCATCATGCAGCAATTCAAAGGAATGTGAGATAGATAGATAGATAAAGAATGGGTTTAATATACATGTGTTAATTATATTTGACTTTGTTTAATTTTATTTCATTTTGGTGTAATTGAGGAGAATTAGGCTACTTGAATTTTCTTTTTTTCTTCCATAAAAATATATTAAAAACATTCAAACTTTGTCGTTTTTCTTTACAACAACTGATTATAATACTGTAACAGAGCAGCATGATTTGATTGATTGAATGAGATATGAGGATTTCATAATAGACACTGAAACCTGGCAAAAGTGGAAGGCCCCTTGGTATTTAGACAGGGTTAAAATTTTTATTTTATTTTATTTTTTTGCCCTTAACAAAAAATGTTAGCTGATTGTTGTGTATGTTGGTAATTTTGTTAGTTATGACAGCACAAACTTAGTGTACAGGCCTAGTTAATCTTCTAGTGTCACAGCATCAGATGGATCTGAAATGTCAGTCTAGGAAAATCACAGCTAAATCTAAATTTTAATCAAAATCTAAACACCAGTAATATCACAATTAATAAATCAGGTCACAAAAGTTGGAAGACATAGTGAATGTGCTTCCGTACTGTCCCACCCAAAAGTGGATGCAAAAAGCTTCTCATTTAGAAACCCACATTTCTCAGTTTCAAACCATAGCATTCACTGCACAGTGCACTGTTTGTGTGATATTTCCCAGAACTAAACCTGTTTGTCCTTTTCTATTTTTACAAATGTAAAAACACTGGTACTGTGTTATTTTTATCAAGTCAACAGAATATGAAGACAGTAAAATTCCACTACCATCACAGCTCTAGGAGGAATAAATGTTGCTTTAATAGCTGTCAAGACACATTCATCCTAACTCATTTTATTAACGAATTAATTGGGTGATCGCTCTTTATGGTCGCCTCTCAATCTGCCTATTAGTCTCTCTCAGTTTGACTGTCCATCTGTCTCTATCTGTCTGTCTTCCCCGCTGTCGCATTCAACAGCAGGCCGGATCACTATTATGCAAGGAAAAACAGCGTAATGCGCCAAGCTGTGCTCTTGTATTTCTTCTCTGTTGCACTATTTGGCAGAGAGGCAGGGGTGGGGAGAGAAAGTTAAGAGAATCACGCTCACAGCAATACGGCCGGAAGTGAGGTGACAGAGTAACATAAATGTTTGGTCGTTACTGTATATCCATGGTATGACTTTAATGGTCTACTTCTCTGTCACCTCTTCCATACCTATTTGTTCTCAGTATTTCTCAGGGTTTGCTTTCAGTGTGTGTTTTTAAACTTATTTGTTCAATTTATATTTCGATTTATCCTGCATACTTCTTTTAGACTTTAAAAAATTCAACAAAGTCAAACAGCTGGCAGTGTACTGATATAAAATTCGAATTCCACAAAGCATCAAAATGAACATATTGAATAAAACCATATAATATGACAAGTAAAACAAAAGTGATATGAAAAAGGGAAACGAGAAGACAGGGAAGGAAGGAAATTTGGAATTCGAAATTGGGCAAAAACCTGTTATTAGCTATATTTTGTTATGTAATTTGTCTATTTTTTCTTTTTTAGAAATCCATAAATGTATACAGAGAATGAAAGAGGGGTAACTATTAAATGAACATGTGTATTCAAAATTTACATAATAAAATAAAGTTAATATGTTAGCCACAACAGACTGCAACCTTTGGAATGAGTTTTTATTTTTATTTTTTAATAAAGTTAGGCTAGCAGATTCCCCTTACTTACAGTCTTTGTGCTAAGCTAGGCTAAACTCGCTTGGACCTATGCACTGGACAGTGAAATTAATTTTCTCTTTCTGGCATAATATAAAACAGACCTGTTTCAAAATGTTCCTTTAAATAAATTTAAGATGAGACACACGACGCAAACCAAACTACCGGTAACAAACTCTTCTGTAACATATAGCCTACTATCGTCTCTTCTAATCTCTGCCAACAGCGCCTTTATTGTGGAAGGCTTGACCGGACATCTCACGTTTCGTCGTGTCTAACTTAAATTTCCGTAGTGAGATGGCCGTGCAACCTCTGCTGGTTCCTGTGAAGTCGAAACGGGTTCTGTGGGGAGAGACAGCAGGAGGCGAGAAAACGCACCGCAGTCCCCTTCGACCTCCATTTTAGAAATAAAATAACGGTAAGACAGAATTAAACATGCAGCTGTGTGATAGCTAGCTAGTCAGCCCGCAGGTAAACAGCCAAGAACAACACACACTGAGCGTTTGTTTTGTCAGTTGCGTTCTCCCGCCGACGGTCGGTCTGGCGGGGGAGGGGCGGGGGGAGCAGCAGCAGACAGCCAGAGACCTAACCCAGTCTGCTGCTGTCTTTCTGTCTAGGATATTTCTGCCTTTTCCACAGAAACGTGGTCCGAGAGTTCCTTCATTGTCCGCGTGTCTGAGGCCCCTATCCGCCCCTCTTTCACCTGATGTGGAGCTGTGAATAATAGTGAGTTAAAAAGCGAGTAACATGGCTGACGCTGTCCCTGCAGAACCTGTTTGGTCGTTTATCAGTGCAGAGGATGACTGTATATTTATTACATTTTAACCTACCCAATTAGCTAAGCTGGGGGTGACACTGACAACCTAACGCTACTAACACAAGAAAACAACAAAAGAAACGTGACTAAAAGAGTGTAGCTTGACAGCAGTAAATACATCATTTTTAACACAGGATCTGGTTTGGCGCAGCCTTTCAGATTCATGTGCAGCAGTTTTCATTCTGCAGACAGTAATATAATAAAGCAGCAATAAAGTCAGTTTTTATTTTATTTCATTTATTTTTTTTATTACGTTATTGAAAGATCACTTGAATGCTATAGTCTTCAGATAGCTATACCCAGTTTTTTTTTTTTTTTAATTGTAACCAAATCAAAACAAAGGTTAACCGGAGTCTGAATCTGCAGGTAAAACTACAACCCAGGTGCAGATGCTCATCTCCCACTGAAAACAAAAAAGGCAGTTAAAGTCTTTTGAGTTTTCTATGTTTTTGCCATTTTTGTTTTCTGGCAGCCCCAAAAACATATTAGTTCAGCACATCTTTATTTCCACAATGTGAAGAAAACAATTAGCACTGCAGGTTTAAAGGCCAAACACTGATGTTACTAGCGCATTGCAAACTGTATGTTCTTGTGCAGGTGAGAGTCACATGACAGCCAAAACCATTCATATGCAGTTTTTTTTGGTGGCAGTAACTTAAGTAACAGCATTTTAGTTTTCAAGTCTAATGAAAAATAACCTAGGAATGTCTTCAGCTCTCTCTTCATCTGTCATGTGGCTCTCACTTTGCCAGTTACAGAAGTCCCCCAGAAGTCTATCCTTTCTGTTTTTTTAACCCTTTGCCTATTGAGTTGTGACACAGCTCAGCATAAATGCTGTTTAGGTTATTAGAATAGAATCATGCTTCCTGCTAGCTAACAACTTATATTATGGTTTCAAGAACAGTTTTGGTTTTTAATGTATGGCAAACAAAATACAAAAATGCCTGCTACACCATAGGTCAGGAAAACAATGCATAGACCTCCTCACTCTACACCCATGATGGTGTGCTTACTGTACATGCTCAAAGGTAACAGTCTTGTCTCTTGTCTCAGTCTTGAAGCTTGCATACATATTTAGCACTGAGTCCATAATTCACATATTCATCTTTGATTGGGGAGTTATTTTCCCCTGTTACCTCTATACTGGTGCACGATGAGTTAGTTCCTTTCCTGAGCAATGGATTTTACACCTGGTTTTGCTGGTTCAACTGCCTCAACTGCCAGTGACATATAAGTTCTAACGACAATGTTGTTACCACAGGTCAAAATATAATTGCAAGAAGTGAGACCTTTTTCAGCTTTCCCATGTCATAAAAGTACTAGAAGCTATTTGAGTATTTGAATTGTCTTGCCAGATTGTTTGTCAAGCTTGTAATGGCATTGTGTTCCCCTGTATGCTCTCCATACTGTATGTGTGCAGTGGGACTTACAGTGTAGCATACTATTCTTATGCATTTTATGGCTATGGCTGCTCTGCAGTGTTTTCTGGATGCTGGCTGTAGATCTTTTTGTGTTAGGTCTGCTAATAAATGCTAACTCAACTCAGTTTTATGGTAAGTCTACTACGTTGTGACATGGATGACAGCTACAAACACTTCTGTGGTTCTGTGGTCTGACCTGCCGATTCCAATTTTTGTTTAAGAACTGCAACTGACAGCATACACGACCCATTATTTTAAGTGAAAGCCCACACACCGGCAGTGAACAGGTTCCAAACGTTCTGAAATACTGTGCATACTGGGGCTGAAACTAACTGCTATTTTAATAACTAATTAATCAGTCAATGAATTCTGTGATTAATCAGATGTATAATAAATGTGCAAAAATCAATTTTCCACATAACAAAATGTATTTAAACAAGACTTTTGCAATGTATTATTAAGCAAAAGCTAAAATGTGCAAGATGCAGCATTTTATGAAGTGCACAATGCATCCTTACAGTATTATCAAAAACATACCATGCTAATGTAGTTTAATTGTTTATTTGGCCCAAAACAAACCAGAACAAAATCCAATACTTATGTTCACACATACTTATACATAAATTACATCTAATGTAAAGGGCCAGTACAAACTAGACTGCCACTGCTGACATGTACATTTGGATATGCCTAAACAGTTCTCAACACATTTACTCTTAGGCTATGTACTTAACTCTGTACTGTCCCCATTAACTTGCATATGTGTCATCAAATCTTCTTAAAGGTTTTTTTTTGAATAAATAAACCTACAGAAGAGAAAACAAGTTTTTGTCAGATTTGGTGTGAAAGTACTAGAACTAATCTATAAATATGTTGACTTTATTGTACTGGTCCATGGAGCTAGGGTCTGAATGTCTTGGTAGTTAGGGCAGCGTTGGGACTTGATTGAATCCAGATGTTTTGGGGGAAACAGAGTGAAACATTCAGTGTTTGATTTTTGTTTTCAGTCTGCAATTCCTTACACTACCATTACAGTTTTTGTGTCTGTGTGTGTGTGTATGCAAAGAAAACTATAGTTTTGCTGCCAGTTTGGACTGGAGTTTACCTCTCAGGTTGGAGTACGCTGAAGTTACATTATACACTGGGCAGAATGTCGTTCATGTCCAGTACTGTGCAGCCCCTGATGACTGCAGATGACTAATCGTGTTGCTCAGGGCAACGGGAGGGAAATCACCACCAGCTGCAGCCAAACACTGCAAAATGTCTTGTGTGTTTCTGGTAGGTTAGTTTCCTGTGCAGGTAGCCACTGGTGAACAGAATCATGTCTGAGTCACAAACCCTGCACCAAGCATTTGTTTTACTACTTGAAATAATAGGTTCTGTGTTTTAAGTGCAAATTGAAAGTGTGTGTCCCGTTTATAACTTTAATCCCAAGTGATATAACTTGCAAGCGTATAAATAGGTCATAAAATCAAACATTTTTCACATTGTCTGTTCATTTGCAAACCTTTGACTTATAAAAGGAATCGCGCCGATCCTGACCTGACCTCAAAAACACACACACACTTTACCAGCTCACATGAACGTGTATGTGTGCATGCGTAAGTGAAGGTTGAGGTAGGATTGGTCTGGCTTGAATGTCGTGCGTCGCAATAAACTTTACAACTATTCGGATAATCATTTAGATCACTCTGATGGCATTTCTCTCTACTGCCATAAGTTTACAATCCCGTCAGTTGATTAATGGAGAAAATAATTAGCAGATAATGAAAGTAATCCATAGTTGCAGTTTGATACAAAATAGTTCACCAGAGCTCCACCTCCACCAACTACAACAGTCAAATCCTGCTGTTACATCGGTGCATGAGTGATGGGCTGTTAATGTAATCATATAATATATAATAGTATAACAGTATAGACTCAAGAATCTTTATTCTCATTATGCATAGCACAACAAATTTTTTTCT